ACAATAAAACATAGCACCAGCAACAGAATAAAGGCGATTCCAGATGAGATGTAAATCATCCTTTCATTGGCGGTTTCTTGTAATGGTTGATCAGAATTCCTTAGCACTGGCACTGAAAAAGAATAATAAATTTATATCTCAAGGAGACTGGGAGTTTAAGTAATATTTGATAACTGGATGATCAACATTCCTAAGGCTGCCAAAATTGGATGAAGTCATAACTCCAATTTGTAAAATTGAATTTCTTTTACTACATGAAAAAGCGTGTCGTCCTGTTTTGCTTTAATTATATCGCGCTTGCAGCTGTCTACAGTTCATGATAACTGAGACTACTAGTACTGTTCAAATCAATGACATGGAAAGATATAGACTGTCAAAAAAGAGAAAATATTGCGAGCAAATTTTCGCAATTTTCCCGGCAGCGTTTAGTCAAAAAAAAAAAATTGGAAAAAATTCAAGATGCAGATCCATTCTGTGACAGGGACCTCGTAGAAGAAATTTTGGCATGTGTTTATAAAACGTACAAGATTTATGGTCAGTAATGACTTTAAAAATACTCCAAGAGTAAATCTACCTCAAAATACTAAGGACGTTAAAACCTAACTGTGTGCTAAAATTGGTTCCATTGTCATTTGTGTCTTTGGAGATGAATCTAATACATTATTTTAACCAGTAAATTAAAGGTCTTTGATCCAGTCCTTAAACTGTTTGAGGGAGATAAACTTGGTGAACTTGATAAGCTTAATCAGATTCTTTATCGTCCCACCCGAGGAAAAAAGAGAGAGAAAAAAAAAAAACAAGGGTAGCGAAACCGAGGCTGCTGAAACCAGAGTGAAGACTAACCGATATCCTCTTTGTTCAGCCTAGTCGTCTGACTTATAACATTTTCACTTCACTAGAAGACCTTAAAAAGCCCAAAAGCCCGGTCTGGATAGGGTTAAAGAGAATTCGCGAACTTGTGGCTAAAGACGCCAAATGTTCATGACAATGTTTACGTTCATTACGGCCTATTGAAAATTATCATGCTCAAAAGGCATTGTCTCTTACCACACTATTGCCCATAGTTTTGCAGAACACTCGTGTTCCAGTTTTTCTCGTGGAAATGAAATGCGGTCGAGAAGCCTTACGCAATATAAGGCGAGATTGCTGTCATCATTTTGTTAGCGAACGGGAATTTGGGCGTGATGCCCAACGAGTTTGCTTGCCAAGCAGAANTTCTCGTGGAAATGAAATGCGGTCGAGAAGCCTTACGCAATATAAGGCGAGATTGCTGTCATCATTTTGTTAGCGAACGGGAATTTGGGCGTGTTGCCCAACGATCGAGTTTGCCAAGCAGAAAGGTCTCTGATGAGTCCCTTGGCCGGGACGAAACGAACTGCATATGTATTATCATAAATAACTGTCAACTTAAAATGAAATTTTAGAAATTATTTAAGTGGGAGATGAACTTGGTATACTCCTCAAGTTTCATCAGCTTCTTTATGGTTCCACTCACCATTTGAATCCGAGGGCAATGAAACCCGAGTGAAATTTAGCAGATATCCTCTTTTCTCAATCTCTCCGTCTGAGTGAAATATTATTTCCACTTTGTCTCCAGTCACAAGAAGATTTTCACCGGTCTTGTTACCACAGCACACATCAAGTATTTTGCCCATCCCGTCGTTAATTCTCAGAAAGTCTTTGCTACAAAGCAACGAGGTAAATGATGTTTCGCACCAAACCACTAAAACTGCGTAACTTGTGATACTCGTAAGCAATCCAAAACTTAGATATATGATTAAAACCTACATACTATCATGGCTCCTTATACTACTTGGCAATAAGAATTGCCTTGCTTTAGCGTGCATTATCGAAGTATGATGCACGCGGGAAGAAGCATAAGAGTTGCTTGGCGGACAGCACAGCTAGAGCAACTACAATCGGTGACAACATTGTTGACACATTTACCCTTTTAACCCCCTATTTCGTCACTGTGATCTCTTTTTGCCCTCCTAGCTTGTCCTTTCAACCCCCCTCAGCCCCAAACAGTGTTCTGTGGTAACTGCTGTGAATGACTGGGGGAGCGAGGTCTTTTCCACAGTTTACTGTGCATTAAAAAGAATAGTGTTACTTCGTGCACTAAAAGTACTATTGAAAGACAATGTGTCAACTAATTATGTCACCGACTGTAGCTTCTTGAGTGCTCTCCAAACAAAATGATGTGTTCGAGCACGAGAGGAATTGTCGTGACTAATTTTTGAACCAAAAACAGTTAAAAATAGAAGAAAATCATAACCTACAAATGCAGGGATGCAGTCGAAAATGACATCCCTTATTCCCTGGCTTGACAGG